AGAGTTCCACGCGATACCCCATATTCTCCTCCTCACTCATGGCGCGCCTGCAATGCAAGGAGGATGGTTAGGCAAATGTCTAAAAGCCATTAACGATAACATTACTTAGTAAGCCTGGAAGTTGTTTTTTTCTACGATTATCCAAGTCGGTAAATAAAAAATAGGGTTAGGTTTAATACCTGCTTTCATAGAACGAAGAACGTATAATGAAATCTAATTAAACTTGAAAAATTATGGCCATAAAATTTAAAAAAAAAAATCCTTTTCGTTGAGTTCCCAAGCATTTCAATTTTCACCACTTAACACAAACACTGATTCACAGCTACGAGTTTCTCCGTAAACAAATATTTGAGTGGGTTTAAAAATAAATAACCCAAAAGCATAACGAAACAAATCTTGTCGTCCGTGTTTGTTTTACCAGAACCAACCACTTCTTAAAACCATCGCGTAACCACTGCTTCTAAGAATGTTTCTTCGGAAAAAAAACGGTCTGAGGCCAAACAAAACCCAGGTGTCGGCAGTGTATCCAGTCTCGGACCATTTCTTGTGATGCATTGAGTTATTTACCGGCCGTTTTCCGGCAGTTTGGAATACATGTATGTGCTCTCATGTGTTTATGACCGTTACATACATTCATACATACAATGTGTACGCACATATTACATACGTACATACACATACATATACACAAGCATATATACCTACAAATACATACATGCACATATACATACATACATACATACACACACAGATATATATATATATATATATATATATATATATATATATATATATATATATATATATATATATATAAACATTGTTTATATATATTAAAAGCAAGACACATATTAGACCAAGTGTTCCAACCTACAACGAAATTATGGAAATCACATCAGAGCTCAGAAAGATCACACGTGATTCTTTCAACTCTCTTCCACAACTCCATAAATCCGAACTTTCCCACGAAATTCACGGAGAAAGAAGACGAGGCCACAGACAGTCTCGGCAACTCAAAAAAGACAAAATCATTTACTCGAGCCCCACCAAGGACCTTCCTGCCCACCCCCTCCCCTCTCCCCTTAAAAAAAAAAAGAACACCGACCCCCTTCCCTCCCCCCCTCCCTCGCCCCAGGTGTTACAGTCAGCCTGCTAGTTCCGCCTCGACCTCATTCTGGTCCTCGGTTTGTCCTCAGACCCCCCCCTCCCCCTCTTTTAGCCTTCTCAACCCCTTCCCCCCTCTTCTCCTCCCCCTGCCCCCCCCCCCTCTCGTTCATCATGCAAAAGGCCAACGGGTCCTTGTGGGTCAATTTTTAGCCCCAATGCCAAAAGAGACTTATTAGCAAAGGCCACTTCGTTAAAGATATAAAAAAACAGCCTTCGGTGAAAATCTGTCCCAAGAACGAAATTAAAAATGCGAAACAGAAAGGAAGAAAAAAAGGGAAGAAAACAAACTGAAGAAAACTAAAACCGATGACGAAAATATATCACCACACAAATAGAACGCTTCGTAAGAAATGGCGCCGGATCCAAACCAGAACGCAAAGACGAAAAAAAAGAAGACGAAAAAAAACAACAAAGTTAAGCCTCCGTCTGGCGGGAGATTTCGCGGAAACAAAGAAAATGTTTTATCATTCAACTACATGTGTTTTTCCTTCTGCTTTTTTTTAATGGAGGGCGCAAACAGCCGCCTAACAACTACAACAACAAAATACTTATTTGTTCAACGATTAAACGTATTTTTTTAAGGAACAAAAATTATTCTGTCCAATATTGCACATACCTGTTGGCTTATCACAATGAATGAAGAAGACGATGATTGATGATGATTGATGATTGATGTTAATGATGATGATGACGATGATGATGATGATGATGATGATGATGATGATGATGATGATGATTGATGATTGATGATTGATGTTAATGATGATGATGACGATGATGATGATGATGATGATGATAGTGATAATGATAATGAAAATGTTGCTAACGATGATGGTGATGATAATGGTGATGATGAAAATGATAGTGGAGGAGGAAGAGAATGAATGGCGGGTACGACGAGTAATGAATATGAAGAATCATCACCTACAGAACACTCAAAGAGAGAGAGAGAGAGAGAGAGAGAGAGAGAGAGAGAGAGAGAGAGAGAGAGAGAGAGAGAGAGAGAGAGAGAGAGAGAGAGAGAGAGAGAATCATTAATAACGAGGGCGATTTAACAGCCGCTTTCAATTTCTTTTCCGTTTTCTTTAAAGTGATTATCTGGTGTTTATTCAGCTTGTCCTGTTTACAGTATCTGTTGCATCGGTTGATTTTCCTCGTCTAAAAATCATTAACAACAACATCAATGGAACTAACAATTACTCTAATGACATCATTACCAAACCCCATAATAACAACAATAACGTTAATAATAATAATGTTCATAAGAAAAATGCTTTAAGACGCAAATTACTACAGTTAGGGCTGCATCTACAAACACTCTTATCATGACAAT